CTACATGACCCATTAACTAAAGCATCAAATATTACATGATATTAAGCCAAGAATCAAACCAATATAAGGTCAATAAAGCGAAACGATTGAGAAGGCAATAGAGTTATAGCAAAACTCATTCTCGTTCGTTCTTTTGTATATGTGCTTTTCTAATATAAGTAAGATCTTGTTTGTTTCCATGATTAGAAATAAGAGTGATTTTGTTCCAATTACATTGGAATGAGTTTTACAAATTTAGAGTATTATGATCACGCCCAACTATGCCTTATAAAAGGACACGCGGACGTTGCAAATATAATCTGAGTATTTATACCCAGAGTCGAACCCACAGGGAATTAACCTATCAATTACCTTCGTTGGACTTACTAAATTCTATGGAATCAACTTCCCCAAACGTTGTAAATAACAGTTGATGGTATTTCGAATAACTAAGACTGAAAGTAGATAAACAGCTGAAAACTAACTATGCTTGAGTTGTAAACAATTATGAGAAGGTTCTAAGGCTATGATTTCCCCTATTGATGGAATCCCTTCCGGTTATGTTTCATATAGATTCACCAAAATATCTCTATCAATCATGAGCACTCCTTTTACCGCAAATCTCTCCCGAGTAATCACGATAATTTACTAGACGCACTCTCCCGAGATACACTAGCTGGCTTTGTTTATTACAGCTCACTTTAGATTGCACCCAAGGCTTCGTTATCCATAATCCCGCCTTTAAACCCGCAGTTATAGATCCCTCTTATACTTTGGGAGTGATGATGTTCAACAACTACCTAAATATGCACTCTCTCCCGAGTTATGCACACTAAATAGGCACAGCTAATTGAGGATACTGTCAATTAACTACAACAAACACGTAGTTGAACAAATAGAGATTAAACTGGCAAACTATATTAACATAATCAAGAAGTTCATCCATCAATAGGTTCCATCAAAACCCTAGACAAAGGATTTAGCTACTCATGACAAAACGAGAATAAACTACTAAATTATTCATAATGGGTAATTGCAAGAAAATAAAAGAGATAGAAAAACTCTAATGTTTGGTTGATCTTCTCACACTTGTTCTTGCCTCCAAAAGTAGTCTAAAACAAGCTTCTCTTTACTTGGGCGGGTTTCTAAAGCTTATAAGGGTTTTACAAAAGTTTCCCCGAAATTACACTTTGACCCCCAGATTTTCTGATGCGCGAACAGTTCACCGCGGTCGCGGCCAAACGCGGTGAAAGCTGACCTTTCTGCCTCACTTCTTTAATCTGCCGCGGTTGCCCGCGGTCCACCGCGGTCGCGGTCGCGGTGGAATTGTTGTCCAGGTCATTTTGTGATCCTTTATGCGCGGGTACTTCTCGAGTGGGCGTTTTCTTCACATTATCGCCTCCAAAACACTCCATGTTGCTTCCTCACCTCTAATATTCCCTGCGAAACAAAAGAACACTAGTTAGAGCATTTTGTTGGCGAATTACCTATAAAACAACAACAAAGTATGATCATATTAAGGTGTAAATATCAACTATATAGCCTACTATCATATTACATAACCTAAATAAGGAAAATTTTAATATGTAAAACTCAGTTAATAATTTTCTAAAAATTAGGAACATAATAAATTACAATTTTGTCTAGTGTGAAATTTATTTTTCAAAGATACAAAAGGCGAATAATATTACGCTAAAGGACTTCGTGCTTTTAGTATAATATAGATAGATAGATAGATAGATAGATAGATAATAGATAATAGATAATAGATATAGATAGATGCTCTTGAGACAATTTCTTTTTTCTGATTTCGCTAAAGGCAATGAATATAAGAAGTTAAGAACATCATAAAATTCAGTTCACAAAGGACAGAGCACTATGACGTGGAGGTAACCTAGGAATTGCAAATTAAGAATTCCACTACTCATATTTATGAGAATTTAATGAACTCCAAAAGATTATTTTGTCCTTTAATTAGCCAAAAGAGGTCAAAAGGGGCAAAGTTGATCACTTCCCGGAACTAAAAGCGACTCTTTGGAATTAACAAAAAGAAAATCAATAACCATATAGAACTAATTAGGGGTATAATGAAATTGACCATTTGCAAATCAATTCCCGTTTATTTTAAAAAATTTAAACTTCAAATTAAGTGACCACCTTCAAACTTTACATCGTGGGTCTAATTTTGAAAATTGACCAATTCCTAAATACAAGGCCGCAAAAGTGGGTTTTTTTGCAAATCAGCCAACATCCTTGGAGCTCACGGTCCTATGGAGGATTTGCATCTATACCCGCTTTTTTGGTCACGTTTTAATTTGTGCTCGCTTTGCAAAAAAATTGCAAACGTACCTACTTTTTCGCGTAACTTTAACATACGGGGCTGAAATAGCAAATACAATCACGCAAAACTTTAGCATTCTAGTAGACGACCTGAAGTAGCAAAGGCAGTGCTGAAGTTTTTTTGTCCTGGATAAGATGATAAAGTTATTTAGTTCATTTTTAAAAACTTCAACACTAAAATAGCTGAAGTTTTTTTATCCTGGATTCATTAGTTTTGTCATAAAGCTTTTTCAAAATCTTCAGTATAAGATGCTGAAGTTATTTAGTTCATTTGTAAAAACTTCAGCATTATAAGACCATAAGCAAAAACGTGAATCCCCGTATTTCCAAGTGAAGCAGCAGCCAGCTCAAGATGAAAAAGGAGCTTCATTTCAATCCATGTAGCTAAACGGAGTTTATTCCATAGTGGTATTTTAGTGTTTAAAAGTACAGTTTCAAGTTCATTACTTGATTCAACATTATGGGTTCAGATAATTGAGGTGACAAATTAGAATTTCCATTGTTTTCCAAAAATGGCTGGTAAATGTTGTTTTTAGAAGAATCCATGGATTCCAGTGAGTGGAAAGTGGAAAGAGAAAGTTGAAAAGGATGTAAAGAGAAAGTTCATTTGGAAATACTGGGATGACCATTTGAGGAAGGAAAAGGAAAATGGAAAAGAGAATGTAATCGGATTCCGTCGATGTTGGGGTTTTGTACATGACAGAATGAAAAATTCTCTTAAGATGGTGGTAGTATTAGAGAATTAATTATAGTGCCTTTCAATTGTTAATAGAAGAAGAAGAAGAAAACGAAGGAGGAGAAAGGGGCTGAAGTTGTTTAAAAACTGGGTACAAGTTAAAACTTTTAAAAAAAATAGGTATACGTTAAATGGGGGCGACCAAATAGGGTGCCCCGTGCAATTTTTACCGGTCTGAAGCCTAAAGTCAATGGCCATCAACTGTCCTAATACGATCACTTGGATATTGAGATATTCTAAATTATACCTATTAATCGGGACGGGCTGACCCGTTTTCAGCCCGCTTCAACCCGGGTCAGCCCGGTTCAGCCCGCTACTGTTTCACTATTAGGCGGGTTGGGACGGGTTGGTAGGGGGCGGATTTTGGACGAACACGTTCTACTTAACGGTGCACCGAACCCGCGTAACTCGTCACCCGTTAACGGGTTGTTAACGGGCTGCAGCCCGTTAGCAACCCGGTTACCATTGGAATTTTTTTTTAAAAATTAATTGGACCGTTCCCAACGGTCAAATTGAGAAATGACCGTTGGGGAACGGCCAGATTTTGCAAAAATGGCCATTTCGGCCTCCCCCATTAAAAATATAGCCTTCTCACCCCAAATAATTGAAAAATTATATTTTTAACCTTTTAAAATCTATAAATAGCCCCCCTTCTTCTTTATTTTTTCTCACAATTCACTCTCTTACTACTCTAATTCTCTCTTGATATTATTGTTCTTAAATTCTCAATTCAAGACTTCAAGTTAAATCATGCCCCGTACTTCTATAGTGCGCTCATATGTTTGGGAACACTTTGAGGTGGTAGAAGAAAATGAAGAAGCTCGGAAATTAAAGTGCAAGAACTATAGTATAGTCTTAAATCATCGTCCAAAGTGTGGCACTGCCTCTTTAAGGAGGCATATCAAGAGTTGTCTTGAGCGTACTCCAGAAATTCGTCTTTTAAGTTGATTTGAGACAATGTGTGTTATTTTAAAATTATTAGACGTATTTATGCTTAATGTTTTAGTTTGTCAGATTAATTTGGATTTTGAAGTATTATTAATTTATTATGCATGAAAATTTAGTTTTACTCTTTTTTCGTTAATTTACTTGTTAAATGCAAACTTCAATTATGTAAATAATTTGCCTATTGGTCTTATTAAATAATTTTTTGTAGCCACTTACTTTCTAATTTCAAATTTTCAATTTTATAATTTTAAAATACAAATTTTAAGTTTGAAACTTTAAACTTCAAAGTTTAATTCTAACCCTTAAAAGTTTGCAAATACTTAATTACCAATAACATTGAATAAGAAAAATAAAATTTAATTTAAAAAAAAAAAAACTGTAGCCCGGCCCGCCCGAACCCGTTTAGCCCGAACCCGAACGGGCCCTAAAAAACCCAAAATTTCCCAACTTGCCAATAGCCCGTTTCCCCAGTTCGCTAAACAGCCCGCCCGCTAACCGAACGGGCTGAGATTTTTCCCGTTCAGCCCGTTCTAGTCCACCCGATAAACACCTATATTCTAAATTCATACTATATTGATTAAAAGGAAATCCAGCTAATCCAATTAAAGAATTGGTCTCCTCCTTAATCGGAGATTATAAGCTATAGATTATTGTAATGACAGAGACGTTTCTTGCAACAAAGCCATCCACCACATTCACAACTACAATGCAATGCTTTGGGGTTTCAGGAATAAAAAACTTTGTTTTTTTTGGAGTATTTGTTAAGACAAAGATAATAACAAGTACAAAAATATTACTCCTATTCAGTTTATTATTTACAACAACAAAAGTGTCCGAGGATGTCAGCAATAGCTATGACGTGGACGTAACTTAGGAATTGGATAAACTAAAATTAGAAACCAATTATGAAAATACAGCCGAAAAGAGGAAAAATTGATAACTTGACGGAACTAAAAACTGACTCTTTCTTGAAAATATCAATAACCATATGGAACTAACTAATCAAATAGACCGTCTGCAAAATTTAATTTCTGTTGAAGTTTATATTAAATGATAGTAACTTGATTCTGTGGCAACCCTTTCCTTATTAACCATCTTGACCCCACAATTACAATACCCCGTACCTAGCTTCCACACAACACAGCCATGGCGGTTTTCTTCAAGACCCAATTTTTATTCAGTGTCTTGATTTTTTCTTGTTTCTTTCCATGTCAAATATATGGGTCAAAGTCACTATTTCATGTAAAAGATGTTCTGCCATTATTACCTGGAAAAGTTTCATGGCCTATTGTCAACTCCCTCTACAGTGCTGTAGACCTGTTGCCCTCTTTTATGGGGGCTGCTTCAATATCAAATAATAATACCCTTGAATGGAAAGGTGCTTGCTTTTACAAGAATACTGCCTGGTTGGAGCTTCACAACAAGACTGGAAGTCAGTTTGGCGGTGGCACCGTCCATATCAAGGTTCTTTTTTACCCCTCAAAAATCTGTTTTTTTGCAACTTTATCATTTGTTCTTGAAATGGGCAGTTATTTTTTCCTTTTATTTTGATGTTTCAGCTTATTAATTACTTCTTCCATCCTAAATTGATGCTTGACTGGGCATGGAGGTTAAAACTGAAAAAATAGTTTTATGAATCTTGTGGTCTGAAATACATTATTTGTGTGGGTATAAAACAATCTCATTAGGCAAAAGTCTAAAGTCAAATTCTTTTACCTTCACATAAACTGGGATGAAGGGAGTAGAAGTTTTGGTTTTAGGAGGTTTTTGCCATGAATATTCTCTAGAGTTTCTGGGTAGTTTGGAGTTGGAACTTTGGTATCGAGTTTAGCCTATTCAGAGATTTTACTTTCATTATTGTGATAAACTTGCTCTTATTTGCTAGTATATTTCTTCTGCAGTGTGGGTATCTTTTGAGTTAATATTTATTGGAAATATGGTCTGGTAATTTGCATATTTCGTTATTATGCAGAAACCTTGCAGTTTCTTTTTGAATATTTTTTGCTGCTAGATATCTGTTGCTTTGGTTGTGAAAAAGATGGAAAACTAGGTGGGAGTTAAGCTTCATTCTTTGCTATATGGACTTGTCATATGTATGGACCTGTAAATATTGACTTTTATATAAATAACACTATTATTTGAATCTCTGCTGTTGAACTGTCATGTATAAAATGCCAGTCTTTGCATTAATTTATGTTATCTTGTCTTCTTGGTTAGCATTTTCGTTTATGGTAGTAAATATCTTGAGCTTAGAGCAGATGCAAATATCAATGTTTCTAGCTGAAGTTATTTAAAGATTTTGTATTGGTCAGTAAATATTGAATGGGACTAACAAAAACATTTCGGGACGTAAAATGATCTTAGCCAAAAGACCGAGAGAGGTCTAAAACATTTTGGTATGTTACATATATAATCTAGTGTTAGAAACTTGGATGGATCTTGAACCGCTAAAGGAACTGATGTTGAGGAAGCCCAGACTAATTTTTGGATCGTATCAAGCTCGGTCGATGGATGTAGGTCGAATCGTGTGTGAGTGATACATCCTAGCAAAGTCCGCAAAACTTTGAATCTCAAGTCAAATAATATTCTTAAAAAAGTAGCCTAAACAAATTGAAAGTAAAGGAAGTATATATAAACATAGGAAAAAAGAGATCACAGTGAACATAGGTGCTCGCCTTGTGTTTTTTTTTTTTTTTTTTCCGTTTTTGTTGTTTCTCTGTCTGTTTGTCCTCCTATCCTCTATAATCTTGCTATTGTTGAGGATAAAAAGGCCTTTTAGTTGGTCATGGTTGTAGAAGATGGCTTCAACTTGGTCACTTAGGGTAGTCTCCTGCAGTTGAGTATCCAGCAGTTGCACTTTTTTTGAGGTATTGGATGTTTAGGTGGTTATTTCTCCCCACTGAATTATGATTGATGTTGAAATGATTAATTGTGACATGGGGTTGGTGATGTGTTCTTGTCAAGTGTTGCATTCAAGGAATCTAGAGCAGTGGTCTCTAATGCTACTCGTGCCTTTGTGTCTTAACATATTTCATTGCTTCTTCTTTTTTCTTTCGCTTGTCGCGTTTGACATTGCTTCAACCTCCAGTCTTTCTTGTTAGATCAGGGTTTTTTTTATCGATCAATTTCCTTCTCTTTGTTGGGTTGCCTTGGTCCATATAACAATTATTGTCTTGATCTCCCTTGATATTAAACTAGTTGAGGCTAAGGAAGTTATTGCTTGAAATTTAAGTTGTCTCCTTCTGATGCTAAACAACTCTTTTACTACAGTTGTTAATAAGTTTGGGACATGTTGTGTCTCTGTTGTGGCGTTGCATGATCTTCGAAATCTATTAACAGCTGCACTGGATCAGTTTCCAAAAATTAGTTAAGAAGTTTTGGCCGCCTGTACTTCAATAGCTGCAGTGCTCCATAGATTAGTACTCTTGAGCTTCTCATTTCTTAGGTTCCCTCCTCTATATATGTTGACTAAGTATACATTTTCATTTTATATTGCCCTTTCTTTTTTAGTCTGATCCAAAAAGAATAACACCTTTCCCACTTTTCCCTTAATGGCGTGCACTCGTAGCCATATGAATGTCATGACATGTTTAAGACCACAAATTCTAATGGTACTTTTTATATGTGCCAAAAATCTTATTATCTTTCTAATACTACCGTATAAAACAAAAGGGAGGGAGTAGTTGATTAATTTAAAGATTAAATAATGTTCTGATTAACTAATAATTTTCATGGTCCGAAGAGATTGTTGTATTTTTTCATTAACTAATAGTCTCTCCTATTATTATGCAGGTCAGCAATGCACACAGTTACACTTGTATGGACCTTTACATCTTTGCGACACCATATCGTGTGACATGGGATTACTACGTTTTATCACGTGAGCATACTCTTGAAGTCAAGGAGTGGGAGTCTCAAGCTGAGCTAGAATATGTGAGTTGCGGTCATTTCGTAAAATAAACTACATGGGCATTAATGTAAGCATGAAGTTGTTATAGACTCTAAAATGCAAATTGGAACAGGTGAAACGTAAAGGCGTCTCAATTTTCCTTATGCAAGCAGGAATGTTAGGAACCCTTTCAGCATTATGGGATGTTTTCCCTTTGTTCACAAACACCGGATGGGGTGAAAACTCAAATATTGGATTTCTGAAGAAACATATGGGTGCTTCATTTGACCAACGTCCTCAACCATGGGTCAGCAACCTTACTACTGATGACATACATTCCGGGGATTTTCTTGCAATATCAAAAATTAGAGGTCGCTGGGGTGGTTTTGAGACGTTGGAGAAATGGGTAACTGGAGCTTATGCTGGCCATTCTGCTGTTTGCTTGAGGGATGCTGAAGGAAAGCTGTGGGTTGGAGAATCTGGAAACGAGAATGATAAGGTACTTTTAAAACAACTTTTTTTTCTTGCTTTCACATGATGGTACTTTTGATCATTGGGAGCAAAGGCTGATTTTAGGATAATGTGGTTCCCCGAACTCTTATGTTACATGCACCAAAAACCACTTCAGCAACAAACGTATTGGTCGGAGAAGGAAAGAGACGAAAGTATCCCTTTTTGTATATTTCCAAAATAAATCCACGTATGTCTATCTGATTGTTGCAAGCTTGTGGGGTTGTTTATGATTTATCATGGTTTGTGGGTTGGCAGCTCTGAGAGAAGTTGCAGTCTCTTGTTTAAGATAATATCTTCGACTTTTTTATACGCCGAAGTAAGGTGAATGAATATGCCTTCCTTTTACAGAAGCACATATGTTAAATTTTATAGGCTTCTTTCGTTATTGCATCTTTAATTTCATATATTAACTGTGCCATGCATTCAGATTATGGGGTTCATTAAGTTGAAGATGGAAAAATGCTCCTCTTCATTTTTTGTGTTTTTGAGCTTTTCCCACATGAGATGCAATGATATTAGTGCATTTCCATCAAACATTACTGAGTTAGCATAACTGGGTTTGAGAGAGTCATTATGTTTAAAGAACAGTTGGGAGGAAAAAATTTATTTATGTCACGGAGGTAAAGGAAAAAAGAGGATTTCTTTAAGAGTTTAAACCTTTTTCTTTTCTCTGTAGCTTCTTACTCGCTAGCTTTTCTTTTATAACAAATTTTGAGTTCAAATATTACGACATAGCTAGAATTCAACTTTCTTTGCTACTATTTTTCTCCTATCTTTTACTTGTTGGAATATCTTTAAGGTGTAGTTAGCAGTCAATCCTATATCTAGTTAGCCGCTAAGAATAAATATCTTGGAGATATGGCTTGTTAGATTTTAAAAGATCAATTGGTTCTATAGCTTGTGAAAATAAGCACCTTGATGCAGGTGCAATAGACATTACTCGATACTCCAAATCAAGTTGAATAACTTCAGGCGGGGGTAACATGGGGTGTTTTCAGGTTGTGGTCTGTCTAGTGATGCATATACAGAGCATACAACTTAAAGCATTGGTAAGACTATGTGATAGTGCTGAGTTCAACTACCATGTTGTGTCGCTATCATATCAAAATGACGTGACCCCATTACAAAGCTTGCAACATCTTTCATCAGATGAAGTAGTCATAACTCGGTGTTCGAAATTGTGTGAGTGGGGTAATGTCAGGTAGTGGTTGAACCAAACTCCCCGGGAAGGTTGGAGGTGGGTAGAGACAAAGCTAGGGTATGAAGTTTATGAGTTCAGGATTCTAGTTCTTTTAAGTTACTCAGTTTTAAATTAATACTTTGTATATATTCAACGAATCTTTAAGAGAAATACATGTTTCGAATCAAAGTTACTGGGTTCGGCTGAACCTATAATCAACACATTGGCTTCGCCCATGGAGCTGTGATTGAACCAAATAAGAACTCTTAAGCATGGATATTAACATGATTATGTTAAATTACGGACCAACTTGTTTGTGTATCTACTTTCAGGGAGAAGATATAATTGCTATTTTACCGTGGGAGGAATGGTGGGAGTTTGAGCTGACAAAAGATGATTCCAATCCACATATTGCATTGCTCCCTTTGCATCCTGATCTCCGCGCCAAGTTTAATGAGACTGCTGCTTGGGAATATGCACGAAGCATGGTCGGCAAACCTTATGGTTTCCACAACTTAATATTTAGCTGGATAGACACACTCGACGGAAATTACCCCTCTCCCTTGGATGCTCATCTGGTATGCACTGTTTATCCATAGTTGGGCCAATTTTATTCTTGCTTTATTACTTTGAAGTTTTTCCTTCCGCAACCACTTAATAATCCTTTTACTTTGTAATTCTTTGCATTTGCCACTTCAATCAAATTCTGCTTGGGCTTAAGCATTGAGCTATGTTCTTTCAGATAAAGATTGTTTTTGACCGGGACTTCTAAGATTCTAGACGTGTGAACTGAAATAAGTGATTAGCATTTATTCTAGGTTCTTAGTTAGAGTTTGGAGTAAGAGTAAGAAGAAAAACAGTCCTTATGTACTAAATAAATCAACACGACCCTATGAAACTCATGCTTACTTACTCTTGAACAGTGTTGTCAAAGGCGAAAAGATCTAAAAAGCGCTCTAGGTCTATTTGGGCTTTAAGTGCAAAGTGCGCTTAAAGTGTGAGCTTTAGTTAAAAAAGGTGCAATGAAGGAAATAAATAAAAATTTATATGTAATTCAAGAACTAAGTAACAATTTCATTCATAATGTTCCCCTTAGCAGCTAAACACTTAGGGGTCGTTTGGTAGGATGTATAATAATAGTGCGGAATAAGGTGTATTTGTAATGCAGGGATTAGTAATGCAAGCATTAGTTATGCAGATATTATTTCTTATCTACTGTTTGGTGTGGTGTATTAAAAATGATAATGCATTGCATAATTTTAAGAAAAATAGTTGTTTGCAAAAACGCCCTCCATATTCTCTAGCTTTATGGGACTTTAAGGACAATTTTGTCTTTAACCATACCAGTGCATGCATTAATATCCTTGGTATTACTAATGTCATGGTTTTCTATGCATTACTTATACGTAGGATAATACCAAGTATGATTTATAACTAATACAAGTATTAGTTATACACAAAAATTGTACCAAACAAGGTATTAGTACTGCACAAAGCTAATGCTTGCATTATTTTTTCTAATACCTCCTACCAAACGACCCCTTATTTTTTATAATAGTTTTTGTTTAGTGCCACTTGATTCAAGAGAGAACTCATGGGAAATTAGGCGCATGCCTTAGTGCCTTGCCTTATACTGAAGCGCAACTAAAGCTAGGCGAATCGCCCTCCTTGAGCTTTTCTGAGCTTCAGGGCTTAAGCGCGCCTTAAATGAGCCTTTGCTAACACCGCTCTTGAAGTTGTTAAATGGACCTTGGGCCTAACTTAACCCCAAAAGCTAGCTCATGAGGTGAGTTTGCCCGAGAACATATAAGGAGTCCAAGTTACCCATCTTAAGCCGATGTGGGACTCAACACCCCCTGCACGCCCAGGACTGGACAACTAGAGTGTGGACAATATAAGATTGGGGGCCAATATCGGGTAAATAATGAGATGGGCCTGGCTTTGATACCATGTTAACTAGACCTTGGGCCTAACTCAACCCGAAAAGCTAGCTTATGAGGTGAGGATTACCCAAGACTATATAAGGAGTCCAAGTTACCCATCTTATGCCGATGTGTGACTCGACAGAAGTAAAAGTGGTTGTCGAGCTTATATGCTGTATGAGCCTAAACCAAATCGTTTGAATTTGCCTAAAGTCTAGGAGATCTTAAGCACCAAGTCCAATCATGTGAGACTAGCTTGTGTGGTTAGAACTTAGAAGCCTTTGATTAGCACTGATTAGCAATTGTGAAGAGAGCAAAATCATGGATGATAGCCCATTTAAAAATCAGTTGAAGCTAGAAATTGAGGCCTATGAAAGGGTGGATGCGAAAGTGTCGGAAAAGAAAGATATTCTGAACGTGTTATGAAAAGGAATTGTGGTCTGAAAAGATAGTGGACAATGTTCCAATGCTTGGCTTAAGGATAAAATAGTTAGTTGTTCGATGCCTCAAAGTATGAACATGTAAATAGCATCCTTTGGGGGGTTGTGGGGTGGGAAGGGGGGGGGGGGTTACGAAAGTTCATAAAAAAAATTGAATAGCAAAGGACCCTTATCACCCAATTATTGCTTTTTTCAAGCAGACCGTTGAGCACTGATTGTAAATTATACCCAAATAAAATTGGTTTTCAAATTTCTTATTGGGTCTCAAAATTGCTGGTCAGGTTTTGATGTGTTGACACTATGTTGATTTTTTACAAGATGTCATTAATTTAGTTGAATTTTAGTATAATGTTACCTTTGGAATTCTCATGGAGCTGCATTTGATTGCTGAAACCTTTTAACACGACTCAAGTTTTCAATATAACTCCACATAGTACGCATGTGTACTTGAGCAGAGAGTAAGAGGTTTATTATCTTGTGATTTTTTAAAGTCCATCAGAAGGAAGGTTCGTGTCATATCAATTTGGCAGAGAATTGATGTCAAATTGATTTCATGGAAAATAATCGGACTCTCAATTGCTAAAAGAAACCATTGCGGTCAGTGGGGGTTGAAAATATAAAATTGTGCACAATTATATTGATGTGTTTTCGTGAAGAACATAAAGATTTCATATGATGATGCCAGCGCGTTTAATTACTTTAGAGATGTATGAAAGAAGATTGAACACAAGAAGAATGATGAGGATAGAGTGGGAGGCATGGATAGAGAGGACAGCTGTTTTGAGCGGAATGCAGAAAAATGACGAACTTCGAATATAAAGTGGATAATGTTGGTGCTTAGCGTTTGTACTTCAAATAGTGCTACTGGATTGCTTTATCCCTCTTCAGTTTGTTGCATTTGTGAAATTTTACCAGCTCTAGTTTGCTGTTGATATATTTTGCTCGGTACAGGTTGCTTCTGTCATGACTGTTTGGAATCAATTACAGCCTGCATATGCTGCTAACATGTGGAATGAAGCCTTAAACAAGCGACTTGGAACTCAGGTCATATCTGTTTTATCAAATTAGTGAACCGCCTCTATTTATTGAGACAGTGGACAAAATACACTAAGAGAAGCTGTTCACCTAAGATAATACGTGCATCCATTGAATAGCTGGTTTAATAAGTTGAGCAAATTACTAAGAAATGAACAAAGCTCAATGGCATAACTATAGTTTACCCTAGAATTGCAAAATGGTTTGGTTAAAATCATTGTGCCAAAATTCTCAAGCAAAAAGCCAAAGTGAGTGTAGGCTTGTGCCGTACATCTGATAAGATTGACAATTAAATGTTGAATGAGGAACTGATTTTGTGTGCGTGCAGGGCCTTGGTCTTCCAGATATTCTTGTCGAAGTTGAAAAGCGTGGATCATCTTTTGCCAAATTGTTGACTATCCCAGAGCAGGATGACTGGGTTTATACTGATGGGAAATCAACGTCCTGTGTTGCTTTTATTCTTGAAATGTATAAGGAAGCAGGACTATTTGGTCCATTTGCAGGTTCGATCCAGGTTACAGAATTCACGGTGAGTTCGTTAGATGAATTTTGAAGTTCCATTTCAGGGGCAGGATGGTTTGCCTTTCAGTTGTTTGCCTTAGCACTGTGGTGCATTAATTGGTAGAATCTGAAACTAGTATTTTTTTCTTTTAAATCCTTGGGCATAGGCACATAGCACTAGTGAAGTATCTTTTGCTTATCCTGTCCTACTATTCACATATGCCTACCATGTATATATTTTGGTTAGTCCATGCCATTCTAGTTACTTCCCCTGTGTCAACTGTTTTAGTTTTGTTCTTGGGTTATACGAAAAAGTTTACATGGTTTACTTTAAAAAAATAATTTCCCCCATACCTTTACTACTGCAATGTTTTTATTACAAACTAGCTAGCAAAGGGTCCCACCTTTATGCTATCAAAACCTTGTCTATTTTCTATCTTGGACCTACTTCTGTACGCGCGTGTGCGCGTGCACACACGCACGTATAAGTATTCTTGCATCAACAATTAGTGAAAGAAAGTGCTTCAACCTATTCAATAGAATATGTGAAGAGGTGAAATAGGAAATATAGAGTAGGCTGGAGAAGTAGTTTTTATCTATTTTTGAAGATGTTTCTTTGACTGTGTTTTAATCTCTGTCGACCATTTAGGTGCATCTCAACTCAAAGGCATATAGTCTTATATCGAATTCCATTGAGGTATTACTCCTAATAAACTGTTAGGAGTCTGCCAAATCCCCCGCCACCAAAAGCAGATTTAATTAAAAACAATTCCATGGTTTCAGGAGGTAGTGTGTCTTAAGTTGTCACTTGTTCTTAAGTGCAGATAAAGGATGCTTACTCACTCAAGTTTTTTGAAGACGATCCAAATCGGTTGCCTAAGTGGTGCAACGCGGATGAGACAGTGAAGCTCCCTTTCTGCCAAATTCGAGGGAAGTACCGGATGGAACTGCCTGGATACAATACAATGGATATATACCCCCATATGAATGAAAAGTGCCCATCTATGCCTCCAAAATATTACAGGCCACTAAGTTGTTGACAAGGATTTCAATGGGCAACTATCTTGCTGTGGTTTAAGGTATATGTACAAGAGATGTTCTTCCATGGCTTGTTGAATGCTTTACAGGCCAGCAGGTTGGCTTTGACAAGATATCACTTGTATTTATGAGTTAGCGTTATACTGAAAGAGCATGGGAAAAGAATACCGACTAACTAGTATGCCAAAGCAGACTTAGTTTTAAGTGTAAATATTACTAGTAGTTTAGATGATTCGTTCTGTTTGCAAAACTTCATAGATCCCGAAACAATCTTTTACTGTTGGTCGACATATGTACTGCACTAGCTATTTTACTGTTGTAATTTGTAGAAGCTTTTTGCTCAAGCAGTAAGTTATAATTGCCACAAAGACTGTTCTTTCTTTTGCTATCCCAGCAAACTTCTCAGTTATATGGTATACAGTCCTATTATCTTCATCTTGATAGGAGCAGCTACTGTGAGAAAACTGCTGTGTTGTTGACTGTCACCGTTGCCAGCTACTATTGTGTCGAGGACCAAATGTGGTTATGGACTTATCCTTTTTAGTCTTGAAAGAAAATAAATAATAGAGAAGCTTTCTGGAAAATTATGATTAGATATTTGGAAAGATCATGTGATTTATGCAGAAGTTGAATGGAAACTGCCAACCAGTCTCATTAACAGAATGATCGCCTTGAACAAGTTGTAACTGTTGGATTTGCATATTTGGTAATGTTGTTTGCTATAGCAAGAATCATGTATATGTCCTTTATGAAATGGCCAAATACTGTCTTAAAAATAGGTGGAAAATCAACTTGCGCAATCAAAATTACTACACCAGTAGAAAGCCCTATTTGTGGAGTTTTTGTGGTTCCCGTTCTGACTACTTTGATTGAACAGTTGCACCCCGGAGATGCATGGTGGGAGAACCCCATGATCCTCCCGAATGGAAAAGAAGGCGAACACATTAAAAAGCGGCTCATGGGAACCCAAAAAAAAAAAAAGGGAGGGAGAGTAGAGAACAAGAACCAGTAAAAAAACTGTCTCGTGCAGGACTCTCTCAGTAATTGGAGCATGCATCTACATAGTGAGGAGACAACACCAGTTGGTATTAAGGAATCCATTAAATATTTAAGTATATTTAGAGGGGAACACAGTTCTAAAATGACACAAAATTGAAAGGTCATCTCCTCTCCGATCCTACACATTTTTTTTTTTGTCAAATAGAATGTGGGCTGGGAGTGCCTGTCCTCAAACATGAAAAAAGTTAGCATTTTAGACAATTTGTTCATCATACCACCTAAAGAAAATCTAATTTTTTTGTCTAAACAAATTAACAAAATAACTACAACAGGACCTAAAGATGCTACCCAAGCCGCTTTCTCAACTGCCAACACTTCCCAATTTTTGGCCTTTTTTACGCCCCACATATGTCATTCCACGGAGATGAGGTACAACTTTAGAAGCAGTTGAACTACATCACATCTGTATGTGCTATAAAGGTCGATCTGGCTAGGGGATCTGTGACATCAAAGATCAGATTCAGGGTCGTCTCCCTTACTGAACACCTGATTTCTCTTTGTTACCATCAGTTCTTGGACTTGTCGTTCTAACAAACTCTTTGCCAAGGCCCATGGCTGATCCCCCAGCACGAAGCTCCTGGTTCTCCATCATATTTTCCTGCACCGCCTTCAATCAGGAAATTCTTTCAGGATTTACATTCAATATTCCAGAATTAAAACGAACAGTGCAAGTTATTCTATTTTACCTGTAAAAGCTCTGTCATCCTGCCAATCCCATAATTCATCAATGGTTTTGGAACAGATGTAGCCTGGGTAGGAAGAGGGGAATTTACCGCGTCACTTGGTTCCATCGAGGGAAGCTCATTCATGTCACCAATGTCTCGTTCAGGGACAACACTCAAGTTTCCTGCTGCAGAAAACTTATGAGAGGCCTCATAATCTTTAGTGTTCATATCTGGTGATAACAGAGAACCTTGAATCCCCCTGGTCACTTCAACAGGTTTACCTATGTTGTTTGATACAATTGGCTTAACCTCCTTCTGTTGCACCAATGTTGCTCCCTCGCCAAAGGAACCATCTCCATTATGCCCAGTCACCATCGCTTCTTGGACGCTGACTTGAGTTACCTTACTAGTGGTTTGTGATCCATCAGGTGGAAGCGTAGCCAAAGGCGCAACATTCTGCACACCTCTCTCCTTCAGAGCTCCCATATAAGCAGCTTGGGATGAAGTTGGAGGAGCTTTCATAGTAGGTGGCAATCCATTGGTCGGATTGACAGGTTGAAGGACAACAGGAACAACTGCGCCGCGGGCTCCCACTGAAGGGACAGAAGGAGCTGTTGTTGGAGGTAATACAGTCAACTGACCGCTCTTTAAAGACTGATCATGGCCATGTACCTGAACTTGGTTTCTAATGGGTAGATGAATTTCATTCCTCTTAATCATCTGAACATGTGGTGCTACGTCATTTTCTGCTGTGACAGGATCAAAATGCCCTGGCCTAAAGACAACACCCCTGAAATTTGTATTGGAGTCACCAATCCGAACACTGAGCAAATAACCAGCATCAAATGCAGCTTCAACGACACCTGTAACAGCCCGACCTATCATCCCATCATTTGCAACATTAACTGTATCTACTTGCCGGGGTTGGTTCGCTTTTACTTGTTCAAACCCTGGTGGAAATTGAACAGTTTTTACACGCTTTAGGTTGTGATCCTTGCGTGGGCGACCCCGCCCTCGCTTCACAGGAAGAGTTACTGCAGTGTAGGAGCTGTTCCCTTGAATAGCTTCACTCATTTTCAGAAATGCCACTATCTGAATTCCTTCCTGCTAGTCTTATGTAGTACCTGCCTGGAAAGATCAGCTTCTTATTTTGACGCGGAATAATTATTAATATTAAAGATATGACATCCGCCTGACTTGGCAAGACTAAAATGACCTAAAGTATCCCTTCTTTTCAATACGGAACCACTCGGGGAAAAAAGGTGAACAGTTAATTCGGAAGGAGGACGCAATACGCAAGGAACTGCATGATTCCAAGTTAAAGTTGAGTCAGTACAGTGTTCCAAAATGGTAAGTTAAAACTATGGCTGTAATAGTTAACTGGCACATAGAGGAAATTGGAGTTGAGCTTTTTACATGTAAACATGTGTAGAAGAGTCCCCAAAAAAGAGCAATTGGAAAAGAAACATGTTTAGAAGATAAAAAAAGAGAGAATAGATTATACTGGCACCAACATCTTGAAATAAGCCTAATATCGCAATTCTCTAAAGCATATGAATAGAAGATTAAGTGTTACAAGGAGAGACAACAATTTATAGCTTTATGGTCAATATAATCCTAGCTTACCCAGGCTAAGAAGGACTCAGTTGATCTGGGTAAGGGGAATTGTGGGAAGTTGTGGGCGAAACAAGACACATACTATCACAGTGTCACTAAACATCCAACAGATTTATCTATCATTCAAATTTGTGGAACAGTTATATCCTTTCTTCACAAGAAAAGAATATATGCAACACCTCAAACGCCACTCCATTTATTGAGAAATACCGCAAATCCCATTCACATACAGTGCTTAGTCACATATACCACAATGACACTTTCACCACATAGAGTAGACAAGTCAGTTCTCCCTCACACACTGCCTCTTTCTGTCTTCCACTCCCACCACCTCCCTTTTTTTCCTTCCAAAGTATGTTTTTTATAGTGGGTTATTGCTTGAACAGAAAAGAACAACGTTGTCTGGCAGGAAATTTTTATCCTATCTCCATCAGTTTTCTAATAGTGCCATAAGGCAGAGTAGTACAAATAACGACTGCAAAAAGAGGAAAAACGATTAAAAAAAATAAAAAATTTTACTGCCAAGGAAGCATATCTGAATCCTTATCCACCTGGAGCAACAAATGAATGCAGCAAGACCCAGCTACTTTATCCAGCCCAGAGCTGAGAACATTTTGAGATGTGTAATTCAAGACACCCCAAAAAAGATTCAAGACACCTCATAATGCTGCCTAGTGAAACAAACCTTTCCTAATCAGGAAATTTAGGTACATGTGAGACTAACTTGCTAGGGGGAATAACATAACAATAATGAGCAATAGACATGAACCAATGTGATAAGCGACCAATTAAGAAAAGAATTGGATAGGTTGAGTGTAAAGAGAAAATCATTTCTGCACAAGCTCAAATGGCTTTTCCTTATACAAGTTGACATGCATGGTTTTGTTGTGTAGCTTGATCCTCAGGAAGCTGTAGCCTGTAGGAACTATTGGGATATTCAAATGGCAACCGATCGTACGGAAGTGTACCACAAGGTGTTCTTTCCTTAATATGTTTAAATCAGATTTACCACTATTCATCAATAGGGATATATAAATATACGAATATGGTATTTGGATTATGATTATTGAAGCAAATTAATATTGGATTCTTAATCTGAATCCAATGATGAACCGCAAACTACACGATTGACATATCCCAGAAGGCCTAAGCCGTGGAAACAAATTATCAAATAATGCAAAAGTAAAATGGTACACCCGAGGTTCATGAACCAACAAGCAAGAAAAATAGAAGATGACAGCCAGACCATCTTTCAATGATGGTGCCTGTATTTTTTAGGAAGAATTCAAAAGAAGTGTCCACTCCAATGCAAAAGGATGAGCCAAATATGAATGCAGTCCTAAACCATCAAGTAAGAGGTCTAACAAGACATTAAAATAATAATCTCTTCCAAAGCAGAAGAGATGAATAATAAGTTTGTTGATGGAAAGCTTACTATGACATGATTTGCTCAGAAAATACAGATACCACTTTTGCCAATTCTAAAATATGCTTTTCTAATGAATTATAGCAAAATAAAAGGTACACCTACTGATTCACAAGTGGAGCTGAATACCTAGAATTAAACTATTATAAGCATTTTACAAGTGTAGTGAAAGCAAACTTACTTGAGAGCTCTCACTTACATTATTATATGAACTCATCCGAAAACTCCACATCTGAATTTTATAAGACAAGGCACGGTAAGCATACGGCAAGCCTGGACTTACTAGGGAAGACCAACAAAAGCTCTTCTTCACTCATAACATTGGATTTCTAAGATGTATAATGTTGAGGCTCCAATAGGATTTTTTTTTTTTTTTAATTTGTAAATCTGCAATAGTTCCCAAAAGTTTTTGCTTTGTTTTTTCATGAATAGAAGAAGTTATAATCTTTTTAAATAACCATGAAATCCCCTGTAAATTAACCTGCCCAACCCCAGTTAGCCCACATGTTCAAAACTTCAGGGAGTATACTAAACTCCCGCATAAATACTAAGCTCATTGTCAGTAGCAGGGTAACATGCACCCTATCCACAAACCCCATATTATCTCCTTACCACTGAACCAAAGTCCTGGGATCAAATCCTCAAATTAAGAATTTCTCTACAAACAATATTAATCTGAGCTTTCATGATTGAGAAGAGTAAAAATAGTACTTCTCTATCATCTTTCAGTGATTCTGTTGAGCTTGAAAGAAAGGTCTGTTCTTTCAGAAGCAGCATAACTACTTATGAAATGCTGAAAAAGATCTCTTCTTTTAGCTACGTTGTACAAGAAAATGAGTTGCTAAACACATGATTCTAGTTCACTTGTGTATGTACATCATGCAACAATCACTTCCGTTAGCTTTTATGCTGAATGTCAAAACAAGCAAAATACAATAAAATATAGAAAGTTCAATAGTTAACACAATTTAAAATAAAATCTAACGGTTTCAACCGAAAAAAATAATCGAAACTAAAGCACGTAATGACTTAAGCAAACTACTAAATAGTAAGAACATGGAAGTTAAATAGGCCAAAATTTATATATATATATAAAAAAAAAAAAAAACCATACCTCGATTTGTACCACTGCTAGAAGAGGGAGGATTCAAGAAATGGAGATTAACAAGTAGTACTTCGTACTGATTTTTTAAACCCTAGACTTTGTTAATTAGCAAAGAGGGAGAGAAGAATAAGAGAAGATTATTAGGAGAATTAATTTTACTGTTCTGCGGAATTAGAGTGCGGGGAGAGGAGGGATTGCTTTTAACAGGGCATTAATAAATATTTTTACCTTTGGAATGTGTGAGCAAAGAGAGAGGAAAAGAAAAATAAGAAAGAAAAAAGAAAGACGCTCGTATTTGCTACTCCTTTGTTTCAATTCTTTTTTTCTCTCTTATTTCAATATATACTATTAGTATATTTAGAGTAAGTGCCTTGTGGGTATACCCCATCTTCATAATTATAATTTTTTTTAAAATACATAAATTTTATATGAAAGTTCTGTTTGAGTTGTTATAAAAAAAGAGTTTAAGAAAACAATACTATAAGTTTATGAAATAATGATTGTTGATCCTATTTGTTTAATTACTCGGTAAAAGAAAAAATAATGGCCTTCAGAGAAGTTCCGATATTTTCCTATACATATGCAATATTTTTCTATTTCTTTTAGGACTCATATCTTACTGTAACGATGCGATCAGTCGTTTTATGTATTTGAGCCCCATTTCTCTTTTTGATGCTTCCTGTATGCTTGATTTTTATTTTGTGACTTGCAGGGTTGGTTGATTTGGATTTCGGGATATTTGCGAGTGAATTGGAAAAAGTACTTCCATTAGTGGAAGCTTAAGTTGTAAGAGTTGACCAAGGTTTGATTTTTATGTATTGACCTCGAATTGGTGAATTGATAGTTCCAATAGGTTCGTATGGTAATTTTGAACTTAGGTATCTGTCCGAATTTGAATGTGGAGGTTCCTAGAATGTTTTGGCTCTTTTTGCTGAAAGTTGATAATTTGAAGGTTTTGAGAGTTCATAGGTTTGATCGGAAGTTGACTCTGATGATATCAAATTTGGATTGTCGTTCTAGGACTTAGAATATGTTCGTTTTGTCACTTGAAACTTGTGTGCTAAGTTTGGATGTAACCCGGATGTGTTAGGTTTGAATCGGATGCGTAGTTGGAAGTTTGAAAGTTCTTGAACTTAAGAGAATTCAATTTGTGGGTTGATCTTCGATTCATAGATGTGATGGTCTCGTATGTGTTTGGAAGGTTTGAATAGGTCTGAAAATTATTTATGGACTTGTTGGTATGATTGAGCGGGGTCTCAAGTGGCTCGGGCGAGTTCTAGACCATCCGAGTTGCAGATATTTGCCGGTGACTAATGTGCTTCGCGATTATGGAGCAAGCCTCGGGATCGCAGAGAAGGATTTTGGAGCAGCCTGGTTTTGTTCTTCACGTCCGCAAGCTGGTGGTAGTGAATATAATTATATTTTTCACCAAAACAATTCGGGCTTGGCTAGAAGTTGGTCACAATTATTCTTTTAAAATTTCAACTCAAGAAATCAAAACGGATTAATTTGTAATATCTTAATATTGGCTCGTGTTGACGAAAAGCTTTAGCAAAAAGATGGGACTTATTTTTACATTGTGATGTTATGGCCTAGCACGTGAAACTGGTCCATGCAATCCATAATTGTGTATACCGTATTTATCTGATTCTGGATCTAATTATGACGTCCAGATTTTAGTGTTCTGTAATCATAACTCCTTACGGAAAAAAAGAGAATTAAAGGATAAAATCTGAAGAAGAAAAAAAGGCAGAGAGAGAGAGAGATTTGTACATTCGAGTTGATGGGGGAATTGACACTGTGAATACCTAATTTTTGCACCCCTTTAATCCTAAAAAGAGAAGATAATTTTAGAACAATCATAGCTTCCTTGTAATTAATTTTCTCATATTTTTGTGCATTTTGTTCGCGTTTTATCTCATAAAATTATCAAAAAAAGATTTCTTTTATCTTTTGTTCGAGCAGTCTAGTTTGCATTTTTAAGTTGTATACACCAAGAAGATATTCTTTTTATTTGTGCATTTGTAGGATCAAATTAAGTTATGATAATTGGGCTAATTGAATTTTATTGAAAAATGAGCCAAAATCGGACCAAGTGGCCCAATTGACCCTAACCAGAAGGCGCCAAAACGACGTCGTTTTGGTTAAGTGGCTGAGATTAAATCTCATCCACCCACGGCTAAAGATTAATCTCCCACTCAGGTACTTAAACCTCTAATTCCGAAAATTTTACCCCATTTCCCCTTATTTCCTCTCTTCTTCTTCTCTCTTCGCACTCTCTCCTCTCTTTCTCAAGACCTAGTCGCCGCCGCCCATCTCCACTGGCCGGCCACCACCAAACACCACCCAACATATATCAATCTCTTCCTCTCTTTACCCTCTCTCCTAATCCGAGCCCCAAATCTTCAAAAACCCATCTAGATTCCGTGAAATCGAAACCCTAGATAGCCGCCTCTTATTTCCCTATTTGATTTCAAGGCGAACCGGCCACCACACCCCCACAAAACCTATATAAACGTGTAGATCTGAGATCTACACTTTCCCTATAAAAGTTTTATTTAACTAACTTCGAGTAGGCTCTACTTTTGGGTACGACGCACGAACTAAGGTCGGGGATACTCGTCTTGGTTAGTGTAAGCTAGGGTTTGGGATACTCGTCCTACTTTGAGATTAATAAAGTTATCAACAATAAAAGTGGACGTACGCAAACATGAAAATCAAATTGTGACGACCCGACCGGTCGTCTCATGAGTTACCGCTCTTTTCCCCCATTTCTGCTTCTATTTGCTTTGTTTGTTGGTTCTATAGGTGATCGGGTTGGTTGGCTCGGGTTCGGAAAGGTTTTGAGAAGGTTTGAGACACTTAGTCTCTTTTAAGAAAGCTTAAGTTGGAAAAGTCAACCAGATGTTGACTTATGTGTTAGAGGGCTCGGATGTGAGTTCCGATGGTTCGGATAGCTTCAGGAGATGATTTAGGACTTAAAAGTGTGATCGGAATGTGTTTTGGAGGTCCGGAGTAGATTTAGGTTTAAATTGGCGAAATTGAGTTGGCGTTTTCCGGTTGATAGGTGAGATTTTGATATAGGGGTCGGAATGGAATTCCGAAAGTTTCAGTAGCTTTGTTATGTCATTTGGGATGTGTGTGCAAAATTTCAGGTCATTCGGACGTGGTTTGGTATACTTTTTGATCAAAGGCGGAATGCAGAAGTTTTTAGAACCTTAGGCTTGAATTCGATGTGTTTTGGTGGTTTTGATGTTGTTTGAGGTGTTTTGAAGGTTGGTATAAGTTTAAATAGTAGTATATGATGTGTTTGTGCTGTTGGTTGAGATCCCGGGAGGCCTCAGGGTGGTTCGGGTGGTTGACGGAGAGTTTGGAATTTTTTAAGAAGCTGCAGATTTTCTGCTTCTGGTATTTCCGCACCTACGGATTGGGGACCGCAGGTGCGATGCCGCAGATGCGAGGAGGAAGGCCACAGAAGCGGAAGAAGGTGAGGGACGCAGAAACCGCAGAAGCGGTTGGTGAACCCCACCTACGATGGCGCAGGTGCGGCTGTTGCATCACAGATACGAAAAGCTGGAGGATAAGTGAAAACCGCATAAGCGGTTCAAAGACCGCAAATACGGTACCGCAAAAGCGGGATTTTGGTCGCAGGTGCGAAATCCCTGGACCAAAACATATAAGTTATTTCCTTCGCGATTTTCAGAGGGTTTCACCATTTTAAAAGCGAGTTCGGGAGTTTTGAGCGATTTTTGAAGAAGGATTTCAAGGGAGCTTCATTGAGGTAAAGAATTTGGACCTAAAACTCGTTCTTATTGTATTAATTCACGGATTAGAGCTGAGATTAATGGAAATTAAGCCAAAAAAATGGAGGAACTAGGGCTTAGAAACTTAGGCCTTTGAGGGAGGATTTGGAAGACCATTTGTGGTCGGATTTTGGAACTTTTGATATGTATGAACTCGTGGGGAAATAAAGGAATCTAATGACGTAAAATTTATCGAATTCCAAGACGTGGGCCCAGGGATCGGGTTTTGGTAATTTTGGGAATTGTGTTGTTTTTCGATTGTTTTCGAGTGGGCTTTGTCCCTTAGCATATTTTGATGATTACATTCTGATTTTGGTAGATTAGGAGCATACGAAGGCCGATTCGAGGGGCAAAGGCATCGCGAGCTAGAGTTTGGGCCGGATTGAGGTGAGTAATAATTTTAAATGCTGTCCTAAGGGTATGAAATCCCGCATTACACAGCGTTCGGCTATGTTGAGGTGACGCACACGCTAGATGACGAGCGTGGGGTTGTGCACCGTTGGGGATTGTAACTTAGTCCATCCCGAATGACTGTTTTACTGCGTATGTGATAGCTAATTGTTTGATATTATTATATTTTAGGCTAAATGCCATATTTGGGCTTCGTGCCAACTATTTGGACCCTTAGGGGATCTTTACTGATATTCTCCTCACTGTTTGATTTCATACTTGTGCTCAGTCATGCCATATTTTATAGTTTTCAAAACTCAGCCATATTAGTCTGTTTTAAACACTTTAAATGATATTTTAAAAGATATTTTGAGCTGAGTATCATGTTTTACTGTTGCCCGATGGGTTTATGAGATTCTGACTGAGTAAGGCCGAGGGCCTGTATTGTGAGGTTACTTTTGGGTCGGGTTGCACGCCGCAGCAGTGATATACTGATTATGATAATGAGGCCTAGGGCCTGAGATTGTACGCCGAGGTGGCTTGAGATTGATATGAGGCCGAGAGCCTGTTTATGATGCCACGAGATGGCTTGATATTGCTCTTGGGCCGTAAGGGGCCCCTCCCGGAGTTTGTACACTCCCAGTGAGTGCGGGTACCCATTGAGATATGAGATATAGACCGAGTGTAACGACCCGGCCGGTCATTTTTGGAAATTTTGCCCCGATCCCCCATTAACGGTTTCCCCTAAGTTCATTTCTGCTATTTTGGTTTGCCGGGACGTTCGGTGTTGAGTTTTGGAGAGTTTTGGGACACTTAGTCCCTAAATGAGAGCTTAAGAGTTGAAAAATGGTCCGTAATCAGAACAATATGAAGACGACCTCGGAATGGAAATCTGATGGTTCCGTTAGGTCCGTTAGGTGATTTCGGGGTTGGGAGCGTGTTCGGAATGTATTTTGGAGGCTCGTAGCTCATTTAGGCTTGAAATGCCGAAGTTTGAATTTTTGAAGTTTCCGGTCCGATAGTGAGTCTTTGATCCGAGGGTCGGATTGAAATTCCGGGAGTTA